TTATTATTATTATAGCTGGTAAACTATATATTATAATAAATTATTGTATTGTTTCGGGAACGTATTTTATTTTTCACCGTTTCTTCCATTTCAATAAACAATTTTRCAAGATAAATTTTTAYTACCGGCCGGCTGCAGGCATCTACTCGGATTACACTTCCGCTGTTTTTCCTACGGTTATGTTGTACAATAAATATTTTTAATATTATTCAATAATATATGTTATTTATTTTCATTATATTACTGTAAGGTTATTATTGGCTTAATTATTATATAATATGATAGAAAATAACGCACTTTCATTTTTTCTAATACTAAACCTTACGTACGATTTAATAATTGTTCAATTAAATCAATCAATTCGTCAATTGATTAGGTTTATTATTATTAGGTCTGAGCTATATTATTGTATATTTACAACATAAAATGTTTTATGATTTTATGCAATTTACATTTTTTTGCAGACTTGCGATTGTCTGATTTCGCGACGACAACATATTAATGGTTATCAATTTATCATAAATAACACATAATAGGTGTTTTATGATATTTCGAAATTATTTTTGGATACACACTGCGAAAAATTCTCATTGCGTCGATTTTCCTCAACATAGAATACCTACAGAGATTTATTTTTTATTTTTATCCCACTGTGCCCTGCTATAACCTTTATTATAGGTGTACTAATAAAATATGATAAAGCATTTAATACAAATCACAATTATTTACTCGAGGAGTAAATACTGTGAATTAATTCTATAGCCAAGGAAATTGTTTTTTTTTCTGCAAACGCGTTTAATAGACTCGGGTTGTGTGCAGATTATACGCATAGACCTATATATTTATAGTACCTAGTACCTATGTATAGGCAGTTTCGTGCTGTTTAAATGAGATTTTGTTTCGTTTTATCATGATTTGTTATCAGCCTACCGCGCAACACTGATTTTATATTCTTTATTATTATCGATATGGCCAACTGTGTACTACAATATTATAATAACAGTTTATTAAAAAAAAAAAATGACTTGTCGTTATTATTAATAATTCTTTTCCGTTGTATACGAACCCTCATCTAATAATATGGTTGGTACGTGGCTTGAAAAATATGCCATTWTCACGGCGCTGCAAACACCACTTGTATTATGTACAGATACACTTATAATAAAATTCTCTGCAGCTTTATTCGTACAATATAGTATTGTTTTAAATTCACACTGGTCGTACGAACGTATTTATACTGCACATTTTGGTCCTCCCCCCCCACCACCCACCCCGAACACGTGTAATATTTATTACCGTTACGGCACAGCACCCGTGCACGATGGTATTTTTTATTTTAATTCGTTAATGCGATGTACTTACAACACAATGGTTTTTTGTTGTAGCACGTCCAGACGTACGGCGTAAAGTATTCGAGGAACATTGGGCAATCGGCACTGTCGTAGCACCAATCGTGCATTTTGCAGCAGCTAAAAACAAATCGTCCGGAAAGAACAAAGCAAAACAGTATATGAGTKCATCATTCGTCGTTTGACGAGCGACAGACAGGTATTATTGTGGTTATATTAACTTGTCTATGGGATCGACCGGTGACCCAGAACCCAGGAATCCGCAGTAACAGCCGTATCCTAGGTAAGAAATCGGATTGCAACCGGTGGCGCACACGACCATATTGTACAGCTGATAAACACTCCTCTTGGGTCTAAAAAAAAAAAACAAAAAAATTACAAAACAACAAACACGGACGTTATGACACATTATGAACAAAAATATTAGAGAATACCGAGCTGACCTTCTAAATAATAACATAATATATGTTTGTAACTGTATAGCCGCATAGGTAATTAGAGCAAGGACTCTCCTACAACATTTGCATATTATTATGTTTGCTCTGGTCGATATTGTCTTGTACAAGAGTATAATATATTAGATAGGTATATACTATAAATATATATATATATATATATATATATTATGATGGGTGTATACACACAAAATATTGTGTTTCACCACGCTTATATATAATTATATATTTATAATGGTGCAGATTGGTGAAACAGCCTGCTATATTTTATGATAAAACGACGATAAAATTATTTGAGTTATGGAAAAGTAAGACGAGTTTGAGATATTTATTATTATGTTAATTATGATTAAAAGCAGAATCATATCAACCTGAATATGAGTGTAGATATCTGGAAGACATTGACTGGGTTGCCATAAATCAAAATTATCATTCTAAATGTGTTATTATTATTATTATTATTATTATTATTATTATTATTTATTTGCAAATTTATCACTGAAAAGAAAAATATATATAATTAACAAAATAAATTTGCTCATCTCCTCTAAGCTAGCTTATAATGGAGGTGAGAAATATATATATAATGATTCACAGAGCATGCACACCCTCTCTATTCTTCATAGATGCAGCTATTCAAAATCTGATTTTTGAAATTTTCAAATAACTTTATATTTTTAAATCCTTGAGATATTATTGTACTAAAGGAGTGTTCTGTGGCGATACCGATACGAACTTCTATTTTCAAATGAACTCAGAACTACCACTCTTTACTACTGAAAATTATTTAGCAGATTTTTTTTATGCTAACAGGGATGAGCAGTATAAATCTCTAATTTTTAAATGAGTATCTACTTACTTAGTTGCTAAAATTTTATAATAGACTTTAAAAACTTTTTTTTTTWAATATTTATATAATATATAATGACTAATTTTACATGTTATAAAATATGTTGATTAATTAATATTAATTAAATTATTATAATAAATAATTATTTTCAAATCATTAAAGCTCGCGTATCTTCAAAACTCATTATCAATGATCCATTGTCCTATTAGTACACAAAGTTAAATAACTCAAAAATTCTRATACATTTTGATACTTCAATGTTTTAAGAAAATGTATCCACCAAATTAATTACAAATTAATTACAGTAAGAAGAAAGGAATTTTCATTTTGAAAACAGAAATTTGTAGCAGCGCAGGAGACTCTTTAAATTGTACGAAAAAATCTCAAGAATTATTAAAGGATGAAAATATGATTTTTACGTTTATTTAAAAATTCTAAAACTGAGATTTTGAAAAACTGCACTTCAAGAAAAAAAAAAGGAATGAGGCAGTGAGCGTAGATTGTGAATCGTCTTATATAAATATTATTACAAACACCATTTAATCCTTCTCTTACTCATACTCAATACCTATTACCTGTATTGGTTTTTACCGCCGGATTGGCCGGTCTCCAACAAGGCCGACGGTCCCCACGGATTGTTCGTGTAGCTGACGTAGATTTCTATGGGCACGGATGTACCGTTTTTGTGGTATATTTTTCGGGCCAAAGTGCTAATGTCTGTAAAAAAAAAAAATCTTTGATATATAGATAACATATGACTCGTGTTCTTGTATGTGCGGGCACACCGTAAAATTCTGTGAGCAGCATTTTACGATTTATTTAACGTTTCTGATATGATGAAAACAATAGGAGGAGGGCACGTCGGCAAATCTGATTGATTGATTGATGATGATGCGTGTGATTATCATTTTCCACTGAATCCCCTCATATGCGGGCAACGGTCAAGTTACACGCGATAAATTCGAAAAATCGGAAATCCGCTTAAGAGCAAACGACGAGATTTTTATGTAAGTCCGGATCAAAGAGGAAACCCGATTTGAGCTTTTCCATATAATTATTTATAAATCATATTATGTTGTTGTATATTATAATACGACAACGTTTAACTGTTAAAAAAGCTCTATTATAGGTGTGCACTTTTTATAAAAAAATATAATAATCCTATATAATAAAAATACTTTTAATCATTAATCATATTGTCTAATCAATGTTTTTAACTGTAGCTGCACATAGTWAGACAATGTAATGCAGATTTTAATTTACATTATGCATAGATATACTAATAATTTCAAAATAATGTTTTAACATAAATATTTTTTCAGGATRAATAAAACTAAAAAWTTTTGCGAAGCGGCGATCTCATAACGCTTTGTTTATTGCCATAAAATCGCAAATCAGCAGTTAAGATAATTTAAAAAAAATTAATTTAATTTAAATAAAATTAACCATGTGATTTTATCATTAYGCACTATRCCCAAAAACATACTTTTAATTCTTCAATTTTTCTTGCAGAAAAAAAATATCTATAGTCATGCTACTCACTACAAGTTATAACATAATATAATATTTACGAATGACGTTCATATAAAACAACCAATACGATTCTCGCTATTGTGAAATAATTGGTTTTTAGAAGTGTTTTGAATTTTCAAATATCTTTATTTTTTATAGAAAATAGAAAACATATTATACAATCTGTACTAGTGTGATTTGCATACAATATATTTAGATGTTTTCTAAAAAAAAAAACGTAAAAACGTAATGGCTTGATAAAAAGAAGCATCTAATGGCTATCAATACTCTATAAGGGAATAACTTTTGAATAGTTTTATTTAAGTATGTTTTACAAAATTGAAAGGGGTTCGTTTAGGACGTGGGTAGTATTACATATTACATTATTTGTGTATAATAATAGATAATATATAATAAGGTGCGTCGTATACCGAGTGATTCATTTAACGTGAGACGCGCTTAGTATATTTCAAAAACCATTGACATTATTGTGAATCGTTAGAAAACAAACTTTTTCCAGCAAAACCATAATCTTTTTAAATATTTTGTATGAMACTAGTGCATTTGTAGTTCTCTATTCCGAAGAAATTTATATTTTTAAAATGTTTCAATATACAAAACAAGTGGTTAGATATTATTATTTATAACTATTCACAAAGTGTAGTTGATGATGATGAGTTGCGAGCTGAGTTGTCTGTAGGGGAAGGTACCCGCAAAATATTTTAATATACTCGATGCTCGGCTAAACTTTAAATACCTATACACATAATTTTATAGCTAATACACTAGGTACTATTGTCTGAAACTTGATTTTTATAGATCGAAATATTTGGAATATGAAATTAAAAATGTTCTTACTTAAAAAAGTATAACACTTAAAAAATCGATAAAAAAAAATTATATTTTTCTCATAAATATTGTTTTGTAATGAGTACTAATTACTTAAAATTATTTAAGATAAATATTTTCAAGAAGAACTTTTATGCTTTTTGAAATGATGTGTGTCTCACATTAAATTATGGCAGACGGTGCATATGTAGGCGACCGACGATCCTTTGACATTTATAAGTATCCACCCTACACAGGGGCGTAATTTCAGGTTTTTTTCGGGTGTGCGGAGTTTCAAGCAGGTCATTTTGAAATTTCACCAGGCTATATAAAAATAGATATACATAAGTATATGTATATTATCCTGCATTCAATTATTT